TGTATGATAAATTTCACAGGCCTGAAGCTCTGTTTATCTTTGAGGTTGCCAACCCAACTGATCATTTGTCTCCACAACTTATTTTATTATTCTTGATTTGTAAGTCCTGGGGTTTAGACTTAGGCTCTCACACTTGTATACATATGCTCTACTTCTTGAGTTATGCCGCTGGATCTTTTGGATTTAGCTATTTTCCAGATAAAGCCTCAAGTTTTTACCAAAGATCTCCCTAGGAAAGTGACCATCCTTCATTAATTCCCCTGCCCTTTAGCAAGAAAGACAGATGAATACCATCATGCTTTGCTTGTTTTTTGAGATGGAGGGGTGGGGGGTGTCCTCACTAACTCTTAGGGCTGGCCTTGAACCATGATCTTCCTGATCTCTCCCTCTAAAGTAGTTAGGATTATAGGTATGCATTGTAAGTCCTTGCCCTGGTCTCTACAATTTATTTGGCTTCATAATTAATTTAATTAAGTGTAGGCAAAGAAAATGCTTATGCAATGTTTATATTTGGACAATTCATAATTCTTATGGCTTAATAATTAAATCAACATTAGAGTAAATTTCTATTAGAAACACAAGTTGTCAGAAGAATTTTGAGTAAGGGAGAAATCAAAGTAAGCTTTGAAAAAGATGATCTGTGAAGAAGGAAATGAAATCATGACTTTCCCACAAGCTGCATAGCTGCAGTTGACAGTGACTTTGTTTTGTTCCCAAACTGTTATTTCAGGACCAGGGGAGACTAGTTTTAGGAGGAATGATGTAAGATTCAGCTTCAGAAGCGAAAACTAGGCTTTGAGCAATATTAACCTTAAACAAATTAACATTTGTTTCTTCAACAAAAATTTTTGATATTAGTAACAATGACTTATACATACTACAATATACCATGTAAGCTACTTGCAGGTTAAGGATATTTTGTACAAATAAGAGAGAAATACAAGTGGCTAATAGATACGTGAAGAAATGTGCAACATTCTTAGCCATAAAAAAGTGCAAATCAAACCATACTAAGATTTCATCTCACCCCAATCAAAACAGCAGCCATCAAGGAAGCAAGCAACCAACTGTAGCAAGGATGCAAGGGGAAAAGAAACCCTCATACACTGTTGGTGGGAATGTAAATTACAACAACCACTATGGAAATCAGTATGGAGTTTCCTCAAAAGAATAAAAGTAGGGGCTGGGAAGGTGGCCCAGTGGTAGAGTGCTCGCCTTGCATGCTCAAAGCCCTGGGTTCGATTCCTCAGCACCACATAAGCAAAAAGAAAAAAGCCAGAAGTGGCGCTGTGGCTCAAGTGGTAGAGCGCTAGCCTTGAGCTGAAGAGCTGAGGGACAGCCCCCAGGCCCAGAGTTCAGGCCCCATGACTGGAAAAAAAAAAAAAAAGAATAAAAGTAGGTCTCTAAGATCCCCCTTCATCACTATTGGACCTATTTCCCAGAGAGTAAATCAATATACCAGAAGATACTTGCAAAATAATGTTTATTTCAGCACTGTTCACAAAGCCAAACAATGGACACAGCTGAGGTGACCAGCAAGTGATGAATGAATAGGGAATATAAATGTATAAAATATTTGAGATTATAGCCCAGTGCTTGTGGCTCACACCTGTAATCCTAGCTACTCAGGAAGCTGAGATCTGAAGATCACGGTTCAAAGCCAGCCCAGGCAGGGAAGTCTGTGAGACTCTTTTCTCTAATAAACTACTCAGAAAAAGCCAGAAGTAGAGTGTAGCTCACTCAAGTGGTATAGTGCTAACCTTGAGCAAAAGATGCTCAAGTGGGGCTGAGAAGGTGGCTCAGTGGTAGAGCGATTGCTTTGCATGCATGAGGCCCTGGGTTTGATTCCTCAGCACCATATAAGCAGAAAAAAAAAGCCAGAAGTGGTGCTATGGCTCAAGTGGTAGTGTGCTAGCCTTGAGCTGAAGAGCTGAGGAACAGCGCCCAGGCCTAGAGTTCAGGCCCCACAACCGGACCCGCCCCTCCCCCCCCAAAAAAGATGCTCAAGTATAGTGTCTAAGCCCTGAGCTCAAGCCCCAGGACCAGCACAAACACACACACACACTCACACACACACAAATTGAGTTTTATTAAAAAACCATGTATGTGTGTGAATATAAAATAAAATAATACAATATAAAAACTTAAAATATAAAAATACAAAATATAAAGATATAAAAAATATATAAGTAAAATACAAATAAAAATAACAAAAAATAAAATTATGTCCTTTGTTGGAAAACAAATGCAATTGAAGAAATTATATTGAAACAAAGTTCAAGAAATAAAATATTTCACCTATGTATATAGAAATTAGACTTAAAAGACATAGATTTTCATGGGCATGTAATATGTGTGTATGTGTAAATATGTATATGAGCGTACATATATGTGTATATTTATATATACACACATAATTATGTGTGACTTAACACAGAAAATGAAATAAACTAAAGGCCACTTAGGATAAGAATGGTAAGGAGAAAAGGGAAAAAGAAAAATACAGGAAATATAATTTTGTAATATGTTGCAAGTATACATGAAAAAAGCATAAAAACTTCACTAAAAACTTGATCAATAAGGAAAGAGAAGCAAACTGTTAGTAGCAATTATGAAAACTTAAAAGAAAACACATTTTGTTTCCTCTGGGCAGGTGGTTCAATGGAATGATGGATCACTTGCCTGGTATCCATAGGAAAAACCAATTTCTATCCCAAGTGTTGACCAAAAAGAAGACTTATTTAAAACTTTTGGATTTTATTGATAGAATATTTCTAAAAGATGTTGAGAAATTGTTTCTGTGATTCTTCTACAGGAGATAAACTCCATGTCTAAGGGTATGAAACTGTAACTTTTGTGTTATCATTTAAAACAAAACAACATCATTTTTCAGAATATTATGTCATCATAGGATTTCAGATTTCCCAGGATTGTTAAATGAATTTCCCAACTCATTTCAGATTAAGTAGTTGGCTTTAAAAGGCACTATGTTGTGAGTTGTTTGATAATAACAGATAATAAGGCAGCAGGCTAATGCACATTTTATTTCTAAGCTTCATAAAAGCGGAAAAAAGTGAAAGAACCTACATGAGTCTATAAATATCAACATCTGCATTAAGTAGACAGTTCCACAGGAAAGAAATTTCTAGTCAAGGTACTTCTATTTGTCATGATTTACAGCAGACATACTTCAATTTGCTTAGCCAACTTATTTAATTTTGGTGCTGAACTTATTTAATTTTAGCCACATACACATTAATTACTTTCACTAACTTACGCTATTTTTAACCAATTTTTTAAAGTTAAGAAATAGGAAATCTGAAACAATGACTGTTGTGGAGACAGATGTGGGCTTTTCTTGGCTTAGTGCTTACTAACAAGTAACTCTTCAGCAGATGGCCTAACCTTTCTAACTCTAGGCACTCTCGCTATTGCAAATACAGAAACTGATTTATCATATACAGACAAATACTGTCAAAGACACAACATATGAACTCATCTTTTTCCCTTCTTCCTCAGAGGCATTATGTTATTACAAAATAGTAAATAAGACCTAAGAAAAGTTAAGTGAATTTTCCCCTGGCAAATAGGATTCTCTGGTTTTTTTTTTTGTTGTTGTTGTTGCTTATTATTATTCTTTTTTGTCGGTCTTTTGTGGGGCTTTAACTGTGGGCCCAGGCGCTGTCCCTGAGCTCTACAGCTCAAAGTTAGTGCTCTACCATTTTGAGCCATGACACCATTTCCAGTTTTCTGATAGTTAATTGGAAATAAGAATCTCAGGGGACTTTCCTTCCCTAGGCTGGAATTGAACTACCATCCTCAGGTCTCAGCTTCCTGAGTAGCTAGGATCACAAGTGCCCATCATTAAGTTGTCTTATATTCATTAAGGATCATTGGTGGAGCCTGGTGAGAAACCGAAGAAACCAAAGCTTCTGCTTATTGAACTGGACACCTATCTTGGTGTCTAAGGTCAGATACTCTGAACTATCCAGCTCTGCTCTTCACTTGAATTTAAATATTAAAAATCTGTCCCTTCAGAGAAAGGAAGACATTTATATTTTATTTTTCTTCTAGTCGTTTGAGTACTGTTAACAAAACTTTCATTTATAGGCAAAGGGAAAAGGCATACTCATGTAAATCTTTCCCACATTTTCTCTGGTTGTAGGAAGCAGCAGGCAGCTGGATGAATATTATTTTCCAGAAGTTGGAGAAATCCATCCAAAGTGGCTCTGCTACCCACCTCCAGGAAGGAGCTTGAGCCAGGAATTCAAATGCCTCAGTGTCCAGTGAGGAAAGAGATTGATCATAGGTAAACTGTAAAAAGACCAAATATTTGGGTGTGGAGAGTGAAACACTTGGCTGGTAGGAATTTTGAAGAATTCTATTCTGCCCTCAGACCCTTTGATTAAAAATCAAAAAACAAAAATGCTTGCTGCAGAAATCGATGATTATAGAATGGCAGAAAATATTCGTGCAAGTTATAGTTATTGCTCACATCTTTGTCCCTCTTCCCCACACCCTCTCGCCCCCTCCCCCCACCCCCAAATGTATAAAATCCCTGTTAGGCCTTTTACAAGCTGGATGACCATCCACTAGCTGAGAGCACTGATGTGGTTTTTTTCTAAGGCTACAAGTGAGCTTCCTATTCCCTTGGGCGTTTTTTATTTCCCCCAGCGTCTACATTTTCCAATACATAGGCATGGAAAAGTTAGATAGTGTGTATTTTTAAAACTTGGAGAGAGGTAAGGGGCCGTTATTTCCTGCTGCGTAGTGTCCTCCTTTTCCTGGCTTCACAAACAAAACCCGGATGTATCTTGGAAACGAGTTTAAAAAAAAAGGAACAAATGTAAAACTTCTCTTGTCTCCAGTCCAGCTCCAGCGAGTCCGGGCAGGCTCTTGGGGCGTGGCGAGGTGCAGGGCCCGGGCTGCCTGGGGCCAGCATCCCTGCTGTGGATTCTACTGCAGAAAGCTGCTGGGTCAGGTCTCCAACTCAAACCTGCCCCAGCTTATCGGACTGGCCTTCTTGGGCTTGCAGAGACTCGAGGACAAGCAGAGAGCTTTGGGGATCCTGGCCACTGCACAGGCAGGGTGACGGGGCTTCCTGGAGGAAGCCAGTCCCCCTGGGAACTGGGGACAGCAGGCATTGCCTGGCAGCCACGTCCTGTGGGGTGATCAGGGCCCGCAGTTATTTGGGGAGTTGTTGTACTTTTCAGCACTTTCAGGGGCTCCACAGTGCAGGCCATCCTTGGGCCCACTTCTGGGGCTAAAATGCCTGCCCTTCACATCGAAGATTTGCCAGAGAAGGAAAAGCTCAAGATGGAAGTTGAGCAACTTCGCAAAGAAGTTAAGTTGCAGAGACAGCAGGTAAGTTGTCTGCTCCCTGCTGGGGGTGGGGGTGGGGGGAGTTCGAGCTGAAGGAGAGCTGGGATCTGGTGATCCTTAGGTCCTGTCCTGTCAGGAAGGAGCTGCTGTTAGGAAACCACAAGAAATCCTAAAACTCAAGTGTAAGAAAAGGCCGGTGGCCATTTGGTTCTGGAAAGGATGGCATTTGGGAGAAATATCATTCTCTAAAGCCACATGTTAAAGTGTTCATACTACTTTATTTAGTTTTGAATTAATTTTACTGGGGTTCTTCAGTGCTGTATGAGATTTTGAAATGTTTTACTTCAGTTTCTTATTGGCAACAGAGATGCTTTCTTTTTCACTCAGTCACAGCAATCTTTGTCTTATCTTCCACAGTAATAACGATGTGAATTCATTTATTTACTTTAATTTGTGAGAATAGGGCTGGAGATCAAACTCAAGACACTGAGAATTCTAGGCAAACATCCCACAACTCCAATTCCTTTAACTTTATGTATTTGTAGTTTAGTACTTGAAAAGATTAAAGAGATACAAGGGGAAGGATGCCAACATTAAGTCTAATGGTAAGAGTCTTACTAATGGATGAGGATTAGAAGTTGTAGGAATGGGGAGGTTTACTTCTCACATACCTTTTTCTCAAATTTGGCCTTTCCTTTTAAAATTCCAAATCCATGTTCCTTCTAGATTTCAAGGCAAGATGTCCTTTTTATGTTGAGGGGTTTGGCAATAATAATACATGTAGTTAGGCGTTGGTGACTCAAGTCTGTAATCCTGGCTACTTGGGAGTCAGAGATGAGGGATGGCTGTCCCAGACTAACCCCAGGCAAAAAGAAGTTCCTGAGAGTCCATTTCAACCAGAGGTCACGCAGCCACAGGGGAAGCACAATAGCTAGGCCCAGAGGCGCTTGCCTCTGACTCAGGAAATTGCAGATAGGAAGAAAGCAGCCTAACCATCCCAGGCATACAAGGAGACCCTGTCTCAAAATGGCCAATGTAAAAACAATCTGGAGTAGTGGCTCAAGTGGTCCAGCCCATGCCTAGCAACTTTGAGGCCCTGAGGCCTCAGTAGTATTAAAAAGAAGTGTTTAGAGGGATAAAATTTGCTCCTATATCTAATTAATAAAGTTGTTTCTTAATGGAAACTTGTTTCACTCATAGCAAACCCCTCAGTATTGAGTGTTGACAACTTAGATTAATTTTCACATGGTTCCCCCCACAGCCTTGGGTATTATATGTTAAACAGAGGTACAACTCTTAAACAATTCATTGCTAGTGAAAAAAATTGTAAGATTTGGGGCTGGGAAGGTGGCTCAGTGGTAGAGTGCTTGCCTTGCATGCATGATGCCCTGGGTTTGATTCCTCAGCACCACCTAAAAAAAAGAAGCAGAAGTGGCGCTGTGGCTCAAGTGGTAGAGCACTAGCCTTGAGCTGAAGAGCTGAGGGACAGCGCTCAGGCCCAGAGTTCAAGCCCCATGACTGACAGAAAAAAAAATTGTAAGATTTTATTTGGTTGATACCAATGTGCTGAACTTACACTGGGAGAAAAGGAAAGCAAGCTCTTCTAATTGTTGAGTTGTCAGTTAGCTATTCCAGTTCTAGCTGAAACTGACCATAGTGAAATGAAACATTCATTAACAGGTTTTTCTCTGCCAGCCAGCCTGTCCATTAGAACACAGCCCTACCCTAGTGTATAAGAGAGAAAGAGGGAGCGGGTGGGGAGGAGAGAACTTCATCGTTTCTGGACACAGGAAGAATTTAAACCCAATAAATATAATTATTTTTAAAAGTCTAATAAAACATCTTATTTTGTTATATAAATTTACTTATTTTAGTCAGTGGACTCCATATAACTTTCAAAGAAATAGTCCTATCTGAGTATATAAGTGAATTAATGATGTCTGTATTTTTTCTTTAGATTAAATTGCACCATTTTGTAATTACTAGTTATGCACTACTACAGTGCACCACTGTACTACTTGAACTTATTTCTAAGTAAATAATTATGTACGTTGGGGATACTTATGTAAACATAGTTTAGTGATATCCTTTAAAGGCTATAGGCAGCTCTCTAGATTACATATTCAATGGAACATGTGTCCACTTTCTGTAAGTCTCCACTGTCATTTTCTAGAGGGCCTATAGTTCTTCTAATTTCTTCTTAATAATAAAGACCTTAATTAAAACTTTTTTAGTTTTCCATTTATTCTTGTTTTTTAACTCATTGTTCTAACCTGTCACTTAAGAATAGACTTTTTGAATAAGCTATTCAACCTTCTCTCTATTGTAGAAAAAGTTTTAGCTGATTATACAAATGCAAGAATCTCAGATAAGTTTAATAAGCCTCTGATAAAGCTTTTTATTTTCATCATTGTCTACACACAAGGAATTCTGAATAGAGACAGTTGGCCATCTTCACCCTTTTCAGAGCTAGGCTTTTCCCAATGTTTCTGTCATTGTGTGAAATTCTAGAACATAGCAGATACCCTTAAGCAAGAATTCCCAAATATTTGAGGGTTATCTACCATTTCATTAACTCATTAACATGGAGAATTAAAAGTAGAGAATGCTGTAGTTCCCAAAATGTGGTAGATATGCCAGAAATATGTGTTTTCACAGAATAAATCATCTGATGGACAATGAATAATAACTACTGGGGTCAGTCATTTAATACAGTGAACTTCACATTGTTTTGACTTTGACCAATAATAAGAAGTATTTTTACATAGGTTATATGTAGATAGAATAGAATATTAGATTACAGTAGAAATTTAGTAATTGTATAATTTTTTAAAATATTTAAAGTCTGCTTATTATAATTTCATAAAAAAAGTAGTGATAACATTTGAGCATCTCTGACTTCGCTTTGTTTTTTTTTGTTTTTTTTTTTTTTTTCTGGACTCCAGGTATCTAAATGTTCTGAAGAAATAAAGAACTATATTGAAGAACGTTCTGGAGAGGATCCCCTGGTGAAAGGAATTCCAGAAGACAAGAACCCCTTCAAAGAAAAAGGCAGCTGCGTCATTTCATAAATAGCTCTGGGGAGAAACTTTATCCTCAGAGGAAGAGTGATTTTTTTTCTGTGTTATTTTCCCTCACGTGCCTTTTAAGGAAGGAAAATATAACTTGAAAGAGAATCTTTAAAGCAATCTATCCATAGACTGATGCATCACAATATGTCTGCTTCTCATCTTTGTTCACTGTACCCTCTCTATAAGAGGACAGATCATTTGATGTACAATCGTGGAATGAAGGACATTACTTTTGCATGACTCTTTTCTTTCTGTATATCACTTGATGCTTCAAATAAAGTTTTGTCTTGAAAACAGTAATGTTGCTGACTCTAAAAAAAGTACTTTTCAAACACTTTTGGTACTATAAACATTCATACTGCTCTCATTCACCTTGTTTTGGGAGCGTATAACAAATTCCAAGCGATTTATGCTTCACATGTTTACTGTGCTAAATTCGGACTTCTAAATGTGTTGATGTAAGTATAAAAAATAGAGTCAGTAAAATTTCTAATAACATGAACTTGAGTCAAATTATCTGAGTCAGGAACCAGGCCAAGTATTTCAGCATTTAGATTTGTGCATGCATTGTACGTGGTTGGGGAGGGGGTGCACTCATGTGCGCCACGATACTAGGACTTGGACTCTGGGCCTGGACGCTGTTCCTTAGCTTTTCTGCTTCTCCTGGTGCCCTACCAAAATGAGCCCCAACTCCATTTCCAACTTTTTTGGTGGTTAATTGGAGATAAAAGTCATGGAATTTCCTAATAGGGAAGGGCTTCAAACTACAGTCCTCAAATCTCAGATGCCTGAGTAGCTAGGATTATAGGTATTAGCCACCATCACCAGGCTATCATTTAGGTTTTATTCAAAGTGTCTCTGCAGTAATGGTCTTGGGAAAGGGACTGAGCTGAGAATCAGGAAATGATTCCTTTGTGCAGTGTGATGACTGCCCAGCCTTGGCTTTGGGGACTACTACTTTTGCTACATTGAGCTGCACTTACCATGCATTCTCCATGTCTCTGGATTAACTCTTTGTCATGCTAGCTCTGTGACATTGGCACAGACACTTGGATCTTGGCCCCCATTAAAGCCAAACTTTCCAGCAGGCCCAGTGCAAACATATCTCATTTTCTGCTTTTGCTAAAGAAATGGTGAATTTTGGCAGGTAGTTTGTTTCTTGCTGATTTGTATAAATTCTTCATACATTATTGGCCGTCATCCTTCACTGCGGTGGTATGTGTTGCAAGTAGCATCTGTCATACCCTTTACACAGTGACCTTAACTTCTGTGATTTTATCTGAAAAGTAGAGCAAATCAGGAACGATGTCTATTCAATTCTTTATGAAAGTATCAGTAACTAAGACCTCAAGGAAAGGGATGGTTCTTTGTCCCAGCTTGTTTTCCCTTTTCTCTCTCTGTCTTTGAGAAATGCTTAGGTGTATACTAAGAGAAAAGTAAGCAAAAACCTTTGCAAATCAGCTTTATCTCAAATACACTTAGTTGGAGGTGATGCTGTAGCTCAAAGTGGTAGAGCACTATCTTTGAGCAAAAGTGCTCAGGGACAGAGCTCAGGCTTTGAGTTCAAGCCCCATGACTGGCAAAAAATAACTCAACAACAACAACAAACAAATAAACACTCAGTTACTAAATTGTCCTGGAATCTAAACTATGGTGCCAGAAGCACACATATTTCATGGATATGTGTCCTAATCAAACCACAGAGATGACTGTGCTTGAAAGTTTTCTTGAGTATATCAGCCTCCCGGCTCTTATGTTTCTTTCCTTTCCTTTACCTCTATAGGAAGGAACAAGACAATGCATTCTTCCACTGTATAACTAAAATAAGCTAACTTTCTTTTCCTTCCTTCCTTTCTTTTTCTTTCTTTTTTTTTTTTTTAAAGAGGAACTCAGGCTTTTACAAAAGTAATTATGGCAAAAGCAAAGCAGGGGCCATTTTCTCCTGGAATTTTCCAAGTGACAACAATTGAGCTTGCTGAATACGCAATGCTAATTTTATTTTTTTATTATAGATTTATTTTTTATTAGTTGTAGAAAATTCAATTCAACATGTCATTTTGTGAGTACAGTGCACCTTGCTCAATATTACCCCTTTCATCCCCCCCATCTCTTCCAACCCTACCCATTCCCTCAATTTACTTCATTTCAAGGCTAACTTTAGCTCAAAGTATGATCTGTTCCAAGAGAAGGTTTAAGGCTAGAGAGGGTGCAGTTCTTCCAAGCACTAGTGAACGATTAGTACTTGGGCTGTGCCAGAACAATTAGTAATTAAACACTTAGTGTGGCTTGAGGCTTTGCTATGTTGGTGTGTATAATGTTTTATTTTAATTAACAACATCATTTGTTTGCAGTTACCAACTTTTCTTCTATCTTGTTAGAGAGTTTCTGGTATGCAGACCACAGAATCTGCTTTCTTTAAGGAGGACCAGGGCAGCACACTTTTCCCTTAACTGCTTGAGGGCTGTGTTTCGCAGGCTGCACTGTGAATTTCCAGTCATAACACTCAGGTCTCTGTCCACACAAACCCCAGACTCTGGCTTTCATTCTTCATGTTTCTTAACCATATGACACCAACTTCCTCATGAACATCCAATTCATAAGTGTTTCTTCTGAACATTAGTCTGATAATTTCCTCTTACTGTTTTATCGTTGATAGTCATCACATAGAAGTTTTCTTGTTTCGGAGATGCACAGTGCTACAACCTTAACTTGCAGTAGGAACTGATAAAAGCATCGACCTGTTAACTCTAAGTGGTGGGAGAGGAGCATCTGAAATTTAAAAAAAAAGCAGAATCAACATGATTTAGATAGATTTATATCTTGGGTAACGTTACAATCTAGTGTGGCAAAACCTGGTTATACTAGGAGAAAATAAAGGACCTCTGAAAAATGAGCTTTACTAATTGAATTAAAATTATTCATTTCTAGGAAGCAAACAATTGCGAGATCTGATTATGGCCCCCTCGTATATTCTAGTGTAGAAGGAACGATAACATGGTTACTTCTCTACTCAGAGAGCCAAACTCAGTAGTCCCAATATTTTAGTTCTGCCCCCCAACACTGACTACAATAAAGGTGAAGGCTATTGAAATCAATCCTGCCAGTCAATATTGTCAACTTCCTGTTAGAAATTATTAATGTATTGTATACCTCTCTGTCTTCTACTCTTCCCCAATTTAACCTTTGAGCACCCTGCATTTCTTTCTAGTCTTTTCCACATAGTCAAAGGTAGCAGATATGAGAGAGATGACCAGAGTATCTGGAATTGCTATTTAGATAATCTCTACCACTCAAACTTGTTCCTATTCCCATTCTTCTGATGCTTAATCTGTATTTGGATTTTAGAGGACCCCTTATTAATATTTTCTATGTTAGAAAGCTTCCCTTCACCCTTGCAATAACACATTTTTCTTACTAAGTTCATCTCTTTCTCTTTAATACTATTATTTCTCAGTCTTTTGATTTCTTTTGCTATACCACATAATTCCTCATTATATTTTGTATAGCTGAAAGGTACAGGTTATCTGGAAAGAAAGAAGTTTGATAATACTTTTTGATTAATGAACAGCACAGTCACAAGTTTTTGAACACACAAATCATGAGCTTAAAGCCTTGCACAGCCCTGCTGAATTGTTAGCTAACTCTGAAAATGCAAGATTCTTTTGACCTGTCGAGAATGTTTCCAAAATTGACTTCCCTTTAAATTATTATAATACATGGGTTCTCAAATTTAGAATATTATCATATACACTTAAAATAAGTTATACATTTGTCATTTAGGGAATGGATATAAGGTAATGCTATAAAATATTCTTCAGATGTCATAAATCATGTTACACAAGGTCAGGGTTTCCAACTGCTTGTCTATTTGGTCAGATAGTAAATACTTTAGCTTTTGAAAGTCTGCTAACTCTGCAGTAACTATTTCAGTAAGAAACCAATCACAGACAATGAGGTATGTAAACCAATGAATGTTCTAATAAAACCATTTTCTATAAAAAATAAGGAGCTGAATTTAGTGCACAACTATAGTCTACTGATCAATCATATTAGTGATGATTTAGTGAAATGTTATCAATCTGTTGAATAAATTCAAATCAAAGAAGCTACAATACCAGTATATGTCTTACAAATAAAAAGATATATGCAGTGTGTGTGTGTGTGTGTGTGTGTGTGTGTGTTTGATTCTACATTTTCTTATAGATTTTAGTCAATAAAGTCTGTCTGGATAGAGTTTTAGGGTAGAAAGCCCAGATTTGGGTAATATATAGCAATGAAGTTACCCTTGACCTAGGTCTCTGCCTGGTACTCCTGGGAGATAGTCTCTAAGCCCTTTGAATGCCCTGCCTACACGCAAGTTTACCTGGGAGGATCTGAGATATATCATTAAACCTGACATTCAGTATCAGTCTGCAGTGGCTGAAGACCCAATAAAGTTGACCCAGCAATTCTGGTAAAGATACTGAATACTGGGGCTGGGAAGGTGGCTCAGTGGTAGAGCGCTTGCCTTGCATACCTGAGGCCCTGGGTTCAATTCCTCAGCACCACATAAGCAAAAAGAAAAAAGCCGGAAGTGGCGCTGTGGCTCAAGTAGTAGAGCGCTAGCCTTGTGCTGAAGAGCTGAGGGACAGCGCCCAGGCCCAGAGTTCAGGCCCCATTACCGGACCCCCCCCTCAAAAAAAGATACTGAATACTACAGTTTGGGTGAGTACCCCAGGCCAACTATTTTCCATGTATGGTGTCAAGCACACGGAACAGGGCTGCCCATGTCTCCACTTGGACAAAATTGTGACTAGACATTTCTTGGACTCTGCCCAATATATCACTGCTGCTATCTAATTTTCAGTCTGTATGTTTCAGCTTTAATAAGCTGTGAATGTTAGTGTAAGAACTTTCTGTGAGCTCTAGTATATTTGTGACTTTAAAGGAATCGTGGGTAATGCTGAACTTGTAATTGGAAGCAAGAAGACTTGTGGACTGTGCACCTTGTAACTTTGAAGACAGAAGAGGAAACCATGAGAGTGATCTTTATAAAGGTCATGCAGCAAATTAGTGGCAAAGCCTCAGTGAGGATATCAGGTTTGCAGTCTACATGTTTAAAAGATTCTTCCTGCTCTTATGTGTCTTCCTGACGCTTGCCAACTTTTCTGAGGGCATCAGACTTTGTGCAAAGGGTTTGGTACACATTGTCTTATTCTATCTTCACGAGAACCCTATGCCCTATACAAGATATGCTAGAATAATCCTCTTTTTTAAAGTAAGTTTTTTATTGTGAAAATACTGTACAGAGGGGT